AGATAGGCCACTGAGGCCTATATCTGGTTAGCGCCCGGTGGTGCTTCGCAGTCTCCGATGTTAGTGTTTGCGTAGCGTTGCAGTCTCTCAGAACTCGCGCTCCCACTGTGGCCTACGCCGGTTTCTGAACCAGGGAAGCTGACCCGACTGGCAATCTCCTAGAGATAGCGTACCACAATACACCCACACGTCCGCAGCAGTGGCGCCGGTCCGGTATTTTACCCGACATGCGCCGTTGCACACAGCCACAGTTATCTATGATGGTCGGAGAGTACTCCAGCACGGCCTATATTTCTTAAAGGCTGCATTCAAGTCATCTGCAGGATCTAGGGTCCACACCGCACTGTGCTACTGGTCGCAGCCTTGAGTGATAACATCTCGGGGCCGAGTGGCACAATTGATACGGCTTTGTTGCCGAGGTCTATCTTAATTGTTTATGCAAATATTGCCTTCAACGCTGGAAAACAATCAAGAGAATATAGTGCAGACGATGGTTGACTGCTTCTGAATCAAACCAGGAAGCGTCGTAAACTAACTATGTTGATAGAGTTAAAAAGAAAGTGGTATACTGTATATTGTCGCCGAAAGTGTGTGGTGTCTGTTGATATATCGCCGTGTTTGCCTTTGTCCTGACACTGTCCCAGTTCCTCTATCGCTGGTCTCAGTGCCATGACCCACTCCTACCAGGCTGGTTCCTGACTCTACAAACAATGCCCGCTGACCCTGCCCGAATCACTACGGGGTTAACGATTCGCAAACGACGCCGCCGCCCCCGCCTTTCTCCGCGGCCCGTCGCCGGTGACCCGGGGTCACGACCCGACCCCGGGTCACGGCGCGCTGTCGACACCGACAGCCCTTTGACCCCTGACCGGAGCCGACGGCGTGTCGTAAGGCAGACCTTACTTAGCGTTCCCGCTCGCTCCGGTGTATTGCCCAGCCCTTCCCTGCGACCTGTTGGCTAAACGGCTCCACGCGATGTGAGCGGTGTAGAATGGTGCTGGTGTTGTTGGTGCAACTGGCAGTTGTGCTGCTGGTGCCGTTACAGGTGGTGCTGCTCCCGGTGTCAGTGTTACCGGTGCCGCTACTGGTGCTGATGCCGGTGTCAGTAGTGCACGTTGCAGCCTACCGGTTGTCTCTACGGCTCCTTACCTGTCATTCCGCGTAGGAGGGTGTTCTGCAGCTCAGAGGTCACCTCTCCCTTCGGTCACCCCTGTGGCCGTGGGCTGCGCTTCCACCGGGCCCACGCCGTGTCCAAGAGGTGACGTCACTGTCTTGGTGACGTCACCGAGTTTCGGGGGCGGCAGCGCGCCGCGCTGTGAGCTCCAGTCGGTGGCGGCGGCAGCGGCAGACGGCAGCGGCGGCGGCGGGTGGCGAGCTCGACGGCAGTGGACGGCGCCTACCCCCGCGGCATGTGTCTCCCGGGGAAACTGTGTCTCCGTCTCGCGAAGATATTTGTCTTCTGAAGAAAGTGTCTCTGTCTCGCGAAGACGGTATCTCTGTCCCTCGGAGACGGTGTTGCCGTTTCTTGGAAACGTTAAAGACAGTATTCGTTGATCAGCAAAGACTGAAATCTCCGTCTGCGAAGACAGAAGCCTGACTTACGGAGACGGCCTGTCTCTCGGGACAGTGTCTGACTCGCGGAGGCGTTGTCTCCGTCTGTGAAGACGGTTGCTCTGGTCTCTCGGAGACACTCGACCTCCCCAGGCCGCTCGGCGGGCCGTCTATTCACCGTGTCTCGCTGACCGCGTCATGACCATGCTGTGGCTGAGTGGCAGCGGTGAGATGACCGTGGTTCGCAGTCACAGGAACGAGCGAATGTTCTACGCGTGCAACCCGAACGTCACCGTCACCCGGGCGCCCAGTCTGCGCATACAGGTGCTCCAGGTATGGCGGAAAGGGTCCGGCGGGAAGGGTTATGGGCGACTACGGGTACGGCAGAAGGAGTGGGGAGATATACAGGCATAGGAGGAGGGATTTGGCGAGGACAGTGGGGTTTGAAACAACCCATTTATCCGATGGAACCAGTACTCCCTGCTCAGAACCCTTGTTTTTGTGACTGGTTCTCTCTTAGAAGACTCGATGCTTCTTAGTTCCGTTCCTTGACTAGTGACTACACTTGCCTTACCAGCAGCACCATTGAACTGTTTCATGATTGAGGAGTTGACAATCGCGTACCTCACAGAGGCTGTGTGGTACGGAGTGATTCAGCAGTGAAGTGTGGGCTTCGGGAGTTTCCCCTCATTAGGAGCACGCCCTGAAAGTTTTATTACGCCTATTTTGGTCCGTCTCGAGGCCACAAAACTGTTATTACTGCGGCTCATTGTCATTCACTATGGGTTGGGCTCGTTTCTTTCAGACACAGTTGGAATTAGGGATTACTGATCTTTTATTTGTGCTGTTTTGATGTTCTGTTGCCTGTATTATTTTTAATGAATTAACGATTGACAGAACAAAATGAAATGTTGCAAATCGGTACACTGGCTTCTTTCAAATTTATTAGAATAAGCATGTCATGGCAACTGGCATTGCATTATTAATTAATTTTTCTTTCAACAGCACCTGGCAACCACTAGCGCTGGCCGAAGTTTGCCTGCTTGGAGCCTACCAACCTCCTTGAATGGACGCGCTGTTTTTACCTTTTTCCATTCGCCTGCAGTCCATTTCAGGCTGCACTGATCCCCAACATTACCTATCGGTGTACACCACCGTGATGGCTTTGGCACGCGGAAACTTATACCTACTGATGTCCAGGTTCCAGGTGTCTGGGATGTCCCCGATTTAGACTCCGTGTCCGTGCCTTCTTCTTTGCTGTTTCTGGCTGCGTTCCCACGCCCCGGCGGTTGTCATTTGTGCTGTGCCAGCCTCATTTGGCGGATCTGGCCATTGTATTGACGCCGGCGGCCATTATGGCTGGCCTCCTACACACAGTCCTGGCCTCATATCCGGCCGAGTGGTGGCTTCACACGGCGGACTTGAAGAGGAAAGCGTGCCAGGCGATGTGGCGCACGGTACAGCGGGCAGGTGAACAGGTGTGGGCAGGATGGTGGCCAGGGCAGACGGCAGAAAAGCAGACAGAATAGCCGGCAGGATAGCTGTCAGAAAAGTTGTTAGGATAAGCGGTAGGATGGCATAGCAGGTAAAAAGTTGGCGGTGTAGTAAACCTAATAGCTGGTAAGAATTGCTGACAGGATTACTGGCGCTGCCGGTCGATCAGTCCCGTCGTGTTTTGTTCTATGCGATTAGATATCCATCGGCATAGTATCACGGCTGCCCAAGACCTTGGTAGGGGCACAACATTAGAAGACTACATTCAGGTTCATATGTATAACCCCGGACTTATTGCTTACAGTGAACAACCTCCGCATCTCGGTTCTGCAACCACAGCGGACACGAAGCTTTAACCCCGCCATTGACCTCGCTCGTGGACCAGAGCACTTCACACTCGTCACGGTTCAGTGCCGGGGCCGACGGCGCAATGGCCCCGAGTCCTGCCCCGTGGTCCGGCGCCTGTCCTTGTATGGCCAGCCGACCGACACACCCCTCTCTCCCACGTGACCGTCGAGGCAGTGTGTGCCGGGGGGCGACTGGCGGTCGTGGCACGGCCGGGCCGTCTGAAGGGCACGCCCCGAGTCGCCAGGGACAACTTCTGTTTCCAGGGACACTCTCCAGGGGCTGTTTCCAGGGGCTTTCGCTGTTTTTAGGGAAGCTCTCTTGCCTCGGTGAGACTTCCTTAGGGACGGCATTTGATGCCGTGGACACCTTCTGTCTCCTGGGCACTCTGTACCCAGCGACTCTGTCTCTAAGCCCTAAGGTACGCCCTTTGGCCTCTACCCTTAGAAACACTCCACATCAGTCGTACCGCCCTCCTGGTATCCAGTTCCACACACGCCTGGCCCGTCCCGAGCTCGGGGGGCGGCGGCCGCCGGTCGTGGGCGGCACTGGGTGGAGCCCTTCTCTCCAAACACGGTCGTCAATCAGGACTGTCTTCAGTGCCGGCCCAGCTGCGAGCCGGCTGACAGCGCGCCGTACCGTCATCGGCACAGTCCTGTCTCGATCGGACAGTCATCCCGAGTTAGGGCCGTCGCCGTGTCATCCTGGCCCGTGCTCGCTCTGTTGTCGCGTCCGCCCGCCCCCGAGCCCGCAGTCCGGGTCGCTCGGCGCTGTATCAGGGTCATCGATGTCCGTTATCTTGACACGATGCTCCGTGGCGTGCTTGCTCTGCGTCGCTCCTGACGCGTGACACGGCAGTTCTCACCGCGAGCGATAAACAGATCTGACATCTTATCCGTGAGCATCTCTGGAACCCGGACACGCCAGGCGCGGCAGACAGCACGTCGCTGCGTCAGCTCAGTCTGAGACTCGCCGGCATACCGGGCATGAGGAGCGGTTTTTCGGCCCGCTCAGGTCAGCCCGGCACCGCTCCTCTGACCGACTACGTGCTGTGGTGGCGCCGGTGTGAGCCGGGCCGTGGCCGCTGCCCCGTGAGTTGGTAGCTGGCGGTTCTGACCGCGACCGGTGACCGCTGCGGGATCTGGGGCGACGCGCGGCTCCAGTGCTCTGCTAGATATATGTAGTTAGGGAAGCTTCTCCACTTCACAAAACTAGGCTGAGAGATTTATAACGCAGCTACCACAGAATCCTGATAAAAACGCAGCTTGAATTCGCCGTGAATACTAATTTATGTCTTATGGGATTGTTCATGGCGAGCAGAGTATGATGCGGTTGCATAATAAAGCCATTATTGCAACGCAGTGTGCACCTGCGTGAACCGCAGCGCTGTGGGAAGCCACAGCAGCGGCGGCATTTGTGGAACATGTGACCCGACATAGTCGCCGCTGCCGGGAGGTATTTGGGCCGTAACACATTTGCGATTCGTGTCGTTTTTGTTGTGATACGAGCTGCCGACTGTTGTGACGCTGGGTGTACCGTTGACGAGAGGTCGTTACTCTTGCCGTAATGCTTTTGTCGCTATATGACTGACTGGAGTGTCTTCTTTACAGGCCGAGCTGAGGGGTGTGCTGCTGAAGAGACGAGCGGACGACTCTGACGATGACCCCGGTCTGCCGCACTCTCCTTCATCTCCGTCCACGCCGCCGGCGACGTCACGACACCAGGCAGAGCTCAAGGTAAGAGAGATACACGGCACCAGGCAGAGCTCAAGGTAGGAGAGACGTCCGGGCACTAGAGTCTGTCCCCAGCCCCAGGCAGAGCTCAGGGTATGAGAGACATCCCGGCACTAGAGTCTGCCCTCGACACTAGGCAGAGCGCAAGGTTAGATACTTGGTTTCAGCGTAATGTCACCATCATCAGAAGAAGCACGAGCTGGGCTTTTGTTCTGGCGTCAGCTGATCTGTTTTGGCTGAAGATTGGTGGTAACTTTCAGTGAAACGTCTTGGATGGACGAACGGATAAGTCGGACGGTATTACCATATTTGTTAGCTTTGTTTGACATGATACGCATGGTCGAGCTTTGTACTCGCTTTCATCTAACTTCTCTACTGAAGTGTTTTACCGAAGCGATGACTGACTGATTTCCTACCGAGCACTTTGTCCACTTCAGGCAGAATTCAAACGGAAACTTTCACCGGTTGGTTATTTCGTTGACAAATAGCCACATGACCGTTTTGTAGGTCCGTCCTGGAACTACGAGTTTGCCCTCAATTCGCCATTGGGGACCAATCGCTTTCAGTCGTGCGTTGCAGTACTGATCGGTGTGTGGATGTTTTTGGTACAATTGTAGTGCTCGTTTATATTTTAGAATAAAATACTGTATACGACGGCACAGATATGATGATGATCATTTGCAAACCGAATGGAGATCGGCACGATACCAGAAACTCTCAGTCTGACTCTCATTCCTCAACAAACTGCGGTCCCGTAACGGGCTATGTGAACAATCACCGCCGCCTATTTATGCTATGCGGATGATTCCCTCCCGCGGCCCATTGTCGGCGTGTGTTGAGGCGGAACTGAGAGCCCCGGGGGCGGACTAGGCGGCCCGTCCGCTACGCTCCGTCGCCCGCGGTCGCTACCGACAGCGAGGGCCGACAGGGCGACACGCCGAGTCTATTCTACGGCGCGAGTGGCCTCCGAATGGACCTCTCTTTTGTCGGATATGCCATGTTCCCCGTAATGATGCGCCGTGGAATAATGCATAGTACTACTTACCGATAAGAATCGCTGCCTTTTACCGGCTGGAAGTTGTAATTGGTTGTAATGGCAGGTCACATTGAGTGTCGACATCGGAAGGACTTTTCTTCCCGGATGGATAAATTGTCGCGGTGGCGTCGTTACTCTGTGCATGACAAAGTTCCAGGAGTTGTTGTTTGCGTTCCTTCTGAGGCATGTGAAACAGGACATTTTAGAAGCGAAACTTCTCACTGTGAATGATGACCCATCGGCGACTTTCCTTGTCAAACAATTCGCTGTGACGTTAGTTGGTTGATGTTTGAAAAGAACTGACAACCCCTTTGTCCGGCAAATGTTGTGGCGTAATTGTATTTCTAGCAGTGCATGCAGGCTTTCGATGCTGACAGCTTTTTTGACAGTTTGTGATCTCGTTATTCAGAGTTCACCCGTCACCAGAATTCACCAGGACACACCCGTACCGCTTTCAAATACCGAAACAAAAAATTTCCTTATTTTTTAAAGAAATAGCCATTTACCGTTTTCATCAGCTCGATATATAAAGTCTGTGGCTCGATGAATGTCATTCAACCGTTCAGTAACTTTCGTCTGGCTTCCCCTACCCAACCGTTTCGTCTGTGTGTCTACCCACATGCCTTTGTGCCCAGCGTGTGACCCCCGTCCCCGCTGACCTCGCCTCCTCCCGTGTGCCGTCAGGGTCAGAGCGGCAAGTCTGGTGGCTCGTGCAGTGACGGCTCGCTGCTCTCCATGTACAGCAGCGGCACGTGCACAGACGACGACATATTCGGGCCGCTCTCCAAACACCCGTCCCGGGCGTCACTGGGCAGGGATGCAGGTCAGTGCGGGACCCCTCCCCTTACATCTCGGACCGCTGCCCAAACACCCGTCCCGGGCGTCCCTGGGCAGGGACACAGGTCAGTGCGGAACCCCTCCCCCTACATCTCGGACCGCTGCACAAACACCCGTCCCGGGCGTCACTGGGCAGGGATGCAGGTCAGTGTCGTTACACCTTCGGGCCTCAACTCTCGTACAGAGTGTCACTGAGTAGTGGGCAGGGACACAGGTTAGTGTCCTTACATCCTCGGGCCGCTGTACAAACACCCGTCCCGGGCGTCACTGGGCAGGGACACAGGTCAGTGCAGGGCGTCACTGGGCAGGGACACAGGTCAGTGCAGGGCATCACTGGGCAGGGACACAGGTCAGTACAGGGCGTTACGGGGCAGGGACACAGGTCAGTACAGGGCGTCACTGGGCAGGGACACAGGTCAGTACAGGGCGTTACGGGGCAGGGACTCAGGTCATTACAGCGGCCTTTCCTCGGGCCTCTCTACAGACACCCGTGTGATGTCTCACTGAGCAGTGGTAGGTCACAATTATGTAGCGCCGTACCCTTTCTTATCCCCTCACAAGCCGACATAATCCAGGTCATGTGGGCCTCTCCCTCCCAGACTGACACGATCGACTAACACGACCCAGAAGAATGACGAATTGTACCTCTTACGTACCGATTCGATCCGGGTCATTGACAACCCTTCCCCCTCAGTCTCTAAAAGCTCTCCCCATCATAAATTAATTCGATCCTTGTTAATGGTTGATGGTGGGCCTTATATCCGCCCTAAAACTGATCCGACCCAGCCCCTAGAAACTGCCGAACCCTCTCCTAGCGACCCCGCATCCCCATGTGGACCGTTAGTCCGTTACCAGGTGCTGGTGTGGGAATAAAAACCAACCCGTGCATTTTGTGGGCGCCGGTCTGGGACCGCTTCCAGAAGCCGTATGCTCAGATAGTGTCGGTTCTGTCACAGTGTCAGATAGTGTCGGTACTGAATGCAGCGGTAAACAGGCAGGCCCACTGATCGACTGATGGGCGGACTACCGTGAGTCATCATCGTTGTCCGCTACTGAAGGACGGTAGCTCGGAGCTGACAGTATCGGACCAGGCAATGCCGTGCATTATTGAACGAACATAATATTGATTTTATGTTGCATGGACTCCTGTGTTTTGTTGTGCAAGTCCGTCAACCTCATTAACGCCTTCCCCTCACTCTATTACCACCCTCTCCTGCTTTTTATGCATTAGGCCGATATACGAGTATTTAACTATTCCATAAATGTGACGCTATTTCACACATCCCCCTCCTCCTTCCCCAGGTGACGGTCTGGACCTGGAGACGACGGCCGCTCTCAGTCACTCGGCCGCCAAACACCGGATAGCCGTGCGGCCGCGGCGCACCCACGGAGCCCCCCGTCAGAGACGGTCACGAGCTCCGACTGGGCCGGCGGCGACCGGCCTGCCACCTACCGTCGAGGAGGAGAGTCCGCCGGCGACGCCCACCGCTAAAACAGCAGGTAGGAGGGGACGGGAGGAGAGGGGAGGGGACTGAGATGGACAGGGAGGGGAGGGGAAGGGAGTGAGGTGGACGGTTAAGGCTTGTTATCAGGGACTTCTCTGTGACTGTCCGCATAGTGTTCGAGCTGGACAGTCAGCAGCAACTGGTCATGTGGAAAGTGGCAGAACCTTGTCCGTGAGGACGTACACGGGCTTGCGACTTGTCAATGTAGTTGCGACTTGCGAGTCTGGTCTTCGGACCGCTGCAGCCTGTCTTTTCAGGTTATTTAATGACCTCGCCATTCCCTTATACCACGAAATGACCATCCTTTGGCCTTAAGCACGCTTATTTCTCTCTGAAAATTTCACCATTTCAAGTGTTTGCCGCGCATATTGAGGTCAACGTACGCTCTTTGACGGAATATTGAATGCGGCATTCATTCCCAGCGACAGCGGCCGTCTGGCTATAGTCTGGATATAGTCAGTGTTGTGAATCGATCGCCTTAAGCCCGCTCAATGGCTGTCTCATTTTCACCTGGCCGTCCTGCCAGGTGACCCACAGAGCCATTGAGTGCCGTTCGGTACGGCTGGGTTGCTACGAGAAATCGAACATACCAGGGCGTTGATGGGTCGGCTTTGTAGCGCTATTCGCTGTGTCGGCGTTCGCTGGCGCCACGCTGCGGCCATGCATCAAAACGCACCGGCTCGCCTGTCGGCTCTGAGTAATCGTTTGTCCGTGTTCCAGTTTCATCGCCGACGCGCCCGGTCGGCAGCTCACCGCTGCGTCTGAGCCCGGAGCGGACGCGCCGCGCGCCCTCTGCCAGTCCCAGCCGCAGCCAGTCGATACGCACCGGCTCACCAGAGGTCTCTGCTGCTGCGCCCGTGACCGTCCGACCCACCCAGGTGAAACGCTCCAAGTCGAGCGTGGCCGACGGTCGGATCAGGGACGTGTCGCCGCGCAAGTTTTGGTCACGGGATCCGCCCCCGTCTGCTGTTCCGACGACGACGACAACAACGACGACAGTGTTGATGGAGGAGGATAGGAAGACCGACAAGGCAGAGACGTTCTTTAGCCGCATCTTCGGCTCTCGGCGTAGTGGTAGGAAGAAGAAGGATGACCGCAGTCTGAGCCCGGAGACGGTAATTGAGCCGGTCCCGGCTCCGGTTCCGACCCCGGCTCTGGCTCCGACCCCTGCCCCTGCCCCAGTGCCAGTACCGTCCCGTCGTCCGCCGACAGCTCGACACCGCTCCCATTTCGGCGGCGGCGGAGAGCACCGCGGCTCGCCAGCGTCAGCAATGCACGCGGATATCATCCGGCCGCCTTCGACGAGCACGAACAGAGCCGCCGAGCTGGCCGAGCCGCGACCGGCAGAGTTTGTTCGAGCCTCTGAGCCTCCCCGGCCGGCGGAGCCGCCGTCGCGCGGGGCTGAGGTGCCGCGCGCGGTGGACCTGCTGCGATCCGCTGAGGCTAGTCGGTCCACAGAGCCTGTAAGGCCCGTCTCCGAGATGCCTCGGCCTACCGAGCCTGTCCGTACCGAGGTACCCCGACCTCCCGCCGACGCGCTGCGCCGCGGCCCTGCCTTCCTGGCCGATGTGCGCGCTGAGGTGGCGGCTCTTGCGGGCGGTGACCGGGGAGACGACTCGGTCACCGTGTCACCTCAGGTGCTGCGCCGTCACCGAGCGTCCGCCGCCGCTGCCGTCGGCCGGCCGCCGGAGTCTCCTCGCGTCCGGCCGCGCCTGGTCGGCCTGACCGCCTACCAGCAGCGTCTGGCACATATGCAGCGCTCACCGAGCCCCGAGCCGGTGACCGGACCCGCCGCACGTCGCTCCTTTAGCTGTGAGAATGTTGGGGAGGAGGATGCTGGCAGCAGGGGCGGCTCGGGTATGGCGCTGGACAGGGTGCTCGGTTTCATCAAATCTACCTCGGCCGCAGCGACAGCGGAGCGACAGCCGGTGAGATCAGAGGTCGCAGAAGGTCGCGCAGGCAGTGAGGAATCGGAGGCTGCTCCCAGCGCCCCTGTGCGGCCCGCCGGACGCAGGGAGAGCACTGGCTCACCGGGTGCCGGGCCAAAGTCGCTCGACTCGTCCCTGTTTAGTTCGACCGCCGAGCCGCCGTCAGCGGCGCCGTCTAAAGCCGTCTCTGTCGAGAGCGTACAGAGCGGCGGTCAGGAGCGGACGGCCCGCGGCGCTGCGCAGAAACCGGTGCCAGAGTTTCTGCGGGTCCAGCTGCACAAGGTGGACGGTCACCAGCGTGACTCTGCGCCGCCCGCGGTTGCCGAGCGCCGTGACTCCGGCCGTGACTCTGGCCGTAACTCGGGTCGAAACTCAGCCGAGCGCGAGTCATCCTCGTCACCGGCTGTCAGTGAGGAGTCACCGCCCGTGTTGCGTCGGCCGGTGTCTGCCGCGCGGCAGGGCTCGCCCGAGCTGCGCCGTCGGCCGTCACAGGCGCGCTCCCGCGGCTCGGGCAGCGACGCCGAGCCGCCGGTGGTGCTGCGACCCAAGACGGCGCCGGCCTCCGAGGACTCTGAGCTACTGAAGGTGTTCAAGCGCCGCTCGCTCAAGAGCCGCGACCCTGAGGACCTACCGGCCGTGGTGGCCGCTGAGCCGGCGCCGGCAGCGAGTCGCGCAGGGGACGGCGAACAGAAGACCTCCCGGCCGGCCGGCGGTGACGAGAAGGAGAACGAGCAGCCCCGAGACGAAGCAGAGGAGACGGTGGTGTGTGCCTCAGTACCGGCCAGTCCGCCGCGGCGACCGCTGCCGGCCGGTCGGACCGGGCCCGCCGAGGAGTCTGAGCCGCCGCGGCGTGTCTCCATCGGTCGGAGAGACAGCGAGGCGGGACGGCGCGCCTCGGGACAGGAGGACGAGGCCGCCCGGCCGGCCGGCTGGCTTAAACAGGCCGTCAGAGAGCGCCGCGAACAGCGGGAGCAGCGCGAGCAGAAACACGTGCGCCCCGCTGCGGCGCCCAAGGAGCTCCTTATTGAGGTGAGTAGCTGTACTCTGGGCTGTGGAGGTGGGGATGAACGGGTTTCAAAGCTGCGGGGTTCCTCTGGGTTAAGCTGAGTCCCTATTTTGGACGGGAGCGGAGTAATGGGATGCTTAATTTTGTTGCAACGACACTGCAATCAATTCAGTTTGCGTTTGATTGCGATTTTCCGAAGATATTTGCTCTAAGAAGGTCAGCGCTCTGATGTGTTGCTGACGTGACACTACCCTGTTTCAGTCCGACTCGGGATCGTCGGGTCGCTCGGCGGGGCCCTCTCGCAGCTCGCGAGTGCTCGAGATGGCCAACACGTTCCAGAAGCTGCAAACTACCTGAGCGGACCGCCGACGGACCGTCGTGGACCTCAGTGGACCAGCTCGGACCGTCCGGCGCCGACCACAGCGCCGGCCTACCAATCAAATGTGGCGGCCTTCGCCGTGCCGTTGTGAAATCCAAAGACTACGCTGTGCAGTGGCGCTGGCCGGCGGGCCGGTCGGTTTTCCATTTAGCACGGGGTGCGTCTTCCGTGCGGTTCGCCACGTTTTTCCGTATATTTACGCCGCATAAGAGGCTCGTGCGTCAGCTGGGAGGGCGCCTTCAGCAGTCAAAGCCGCGGGGCGCTGACTGGTACCGAGTGAAAGTGCTTGATTTGAGCTGTGTGATTCGAACGTGTGCCGAGCATAAGATCACCACTATTCTTGTATATGTATTTTCGGAAATACCGCTACGCTCGCGAGCTGAGTCTAGTGCCAGGTATTCGAAGCGCATCTAAGCAAGATCATACCGTTGTGATGATGCTTTAGGGCCGTGAAGAGAATCCGTGTGGAGACTGCACTATTTTGGAGACGTGTGAGGCACGCTTTAGTCGTGTCCCGTTAGCCAGGATGGAGCGGATGCTTAGTTTTTGGGCAATGTACTACGCTGTGATCAATATACTATGTAAATAAATTAGCACGAGGTGCCGCCGATGCTTTTTCGCCCGTGCGAGATCACCACGGGTGGTGGAATCCGCTGTCCATAGCTGATCAGCGTTAGATCCAACGTTTTGGAAAGGCGTGGACCCGCTAGCCCACCACGAAGACGTTGTACTTATTGCGTGGGCTGCGCAATGCAGAATCGTGCATGAAGAAGGCTGGATCGAATCCCACCAAGTGGTCTGTTATCGTAAGCTGTGTGGAATCACTGACGATTTCGAGTGCGGCATCTTACGAATGACGCCATTTAATTGGTTGGGGGATGTAAGCAGTCTTTCCTTTCCTTGTGAAAATCGAGTCATCTCCAATGCCTCATGTAAATGATAGGGTCTTTTTCCAATCCAAGCCTGGATGTCGCAGTACTGGCAATCAGAGGGACGCCCACCTATTCTCCACTAATGGTGCTAAGCCTTGGCGCTCGTCTCAAAAAGCTGGCTCACCGGTCGCCGACACGCACACACACCCTCAGACAGTCTCGACTAGGGCCTCCCGCCTCCCAAATACGCCGACACAGGTCGTTACGATGTAAATATGTATTGCACGCCACGCACGCCAACCAGTGGACATGAAGCACCGCAAGGTGTCCCCCAGTGATGGGGGGGGGGGGGCAGACGGGGACGGGAGGAAGGCACTCTGGTCAGGTGTGTTCAGGCTGTGATTGGTGGAAGGCTAGTGAGCAGACGCGGTCGAAGATGTCAGTCGGAAAATGTAGATGGATCGAGGTAGACCAATCAGTTGGAAATCCAAAGGTACTCTGAGGATGGTCGGTTCCAGTTTGGTAAACTTGGCACTAGTGGTGCATCATGTGGACTTTTCATTTTTTACAAAAAATGATGCGCTTGTGCATGGGTATGATGTCCAATGTTAATAATTAGGTGTGTCATGTGATGGAGCACAAGTAAAGAATTCCGAAAACACCTAACTATCAAAACTCAACAAGTCATCTTCAATGTCGATTGAAGAAAATAACAATGGAAACTTTAAGACCGTTTGCAACTTCACGGTACTTCTGTGGTAAGGCACACACTTTCAAACACGAGCTCAACGACGATAAGTGCAGCATCTCTCACGACCTGGAATGTTCGGAGCGCCTCGGGGCCGCCGGCTCGACTGGTCTGCCCGAGCGGCCCGGCTCCCGGGAATGTCGCACGCTCTTCTGTCGCGGCTGCTGGCGACGGCATAATCTTTGTACAGATCCACCTCTGCGCGAACCATGTAGGTGGCGCCCGCGACGCGACCATCATGTGTAAGTGGCGCTCGGATCGAGGCCCACGGACGGCGGCGATGCATGCGAGTCGAATGCGTAGTCGATGAGAATGGAAGACTAGATGGCCGCGTATTCAGCCGCGTCCCGTGTGACCTGCGAAGTAGCGGACAGTTTAGCGCGTCAGTACAGAAATGCACACTGCACATAGCCCATTACAAAGAAATCGATGAATTAGCAAGGTTTTAATTCGACGTATGAGCAGCTTGAGTCAACGTTTCGTACGGCGGTAGTTGACCAAGCAGATAGCGTGCCAGTCCTTACCTGATGCATTGTTGCGCCTAAGTAGCTTGCATTACTTTGGATTTTCTACTTCTTGCTTCTCATCCTTGATCTGAAAGAAAACATCGATTGTCAACACCACACCAATAGCCGAAGCCATATATAAAACACACGACACACGTCGACCGAAATCCCTCCCTCAACATTCACATCAGCTCTATAATACAACCCTGCGATTAGCACTCCCAACTGCATTTAAGTCTACTGGCTCGGTACATAGAGCAATCTCCTGGCTGAGCGTGGCCGTACCTGCGGACAGTCGGCGCCGATCAGTTTGCGCAGCTGCTCGAGCTGCGTGGCCAGCTGGGCGTTACGCTGCTCCAGCTGGGCGTTAGAGGTGCTGAGCCGGTGCCGCTGCGCCTCCAGCTGCTCCAGCTGGCGGCGGTACTCGTCGTTATCGGCCGCCATCTGGTCCAGCCGGCGCTCCATCTGGTCCATGTACTCCTTCTTCTTGCGCCGGGACTCCTGGGCGGAGATCTGCGGGGTAGAGCGGGAATGGAAAGGGCGTCAGAGACAGAGTTCATCTGGTCAGAGGTCAGTGCTTTAGTATCAGCAGCCGGTGAACAGCGATCAACGATCAACGGTAAGATGAGAAGCTAACGATCAGTGATCAACGATCAGTTATCCGCAACTAAGTGATCATAGATCAGCGATCACCAGTTAGATAAGATTACCAGTCAGAAGCGGGGGACAGTCACTATGCTACAAATCCACTAACCGAGAGGAGTGTGTGAGGGGTCAGAGTTCAGGTCGGACGAGAGAGCGACTTCAGAGGTCAAAGGCCGGACGGCAGACAACAGTTAAACAGCGCGGGCCAAAGTTCACTCAGATGTCAGGGGTCGAAATCACTCCACCGCGACAAACAAAACGTCACAGCCTCAAGATGTATGCGGGTAGCTCACCTTGTTTTTAATTTTTCTCCGAATCTTCTTGAGTGAGCGCTCCTCGGCTTTGGAGAGCGGTAGCCGGTTGGGCACGCTGTAGCCCTCGGAGATGAGTGTCCTCTTCTCCTCCTCGGTAAGGTACAATGTCCCGTGGGCTCCCCGCTGTCAGGAAATAACATACTACGGTCGGAACAAGAAACTGTGGTTCTCTCGTCAGTGAATAAGCAAACAAGCAAACGAACATACCAGCATCTGCGATGCTGGGCTCCGCATCGCGGGACCGCAGGTTGTTTGAGCAAGCACCTTTGTAAACGCAGCAAAAACGCCCGTCGCCAAACGAGAGGATGAGCCTTGCACGTGCAGACCGGAGTCGGTGTGCTACAAACTGACGTGCACGGCACCCTACTCGCTGATCTATAGCGGTGTGCCAAATTTGAGTGTAATCGGCTCGGCCATTTTCGAGATCTGGAAGCGTCACCCTGCACGTGCGCACGTGCAAGCTGTGTCCAATTGCATTGTGCATGGGACCCTATTCGCCGGTCTCTAGCGGTGTACCAAATTCGAGCTCAATCGGCCCAGCCGTTTTCAAGATCTTGAAACGACCCCTCCACGTGCGCACGTGCAGTTGCATCTCAACCGTGACACATGGAAATACATACTAACTGACTTGTGCACGGCACCCTACTGATCGATCTCTAGATGTTTGCCGAATTTGAGTGCAATCGGTCCAGCCGTTCTTGAGATCTGGAAGCGTCACCCTGCACGTGCGCACGTGCAAGATGGGTCCAAACTGACTTGCGCACGGCAGTCGGCACCCTACTAATCGGTCTCTAGCGGTGTACCAAATTTGAACTCAATCGGCCCGGCCGTTCTCGAGATCTGGAAGCGTCACCCTGCACGTGCGCACGTGCAGTTGCACCCCAATCGTGGCACATGGAAATACATACTAAATGACTGCAGCCTACTGATCGGTATCAAGCGTTATGCCAAATTTGAACACAATCGGTCCAGCCGTTCTCGAGATCTGGAAGCGTCACCCTGCACGTGCGCACGTGCAGTTGCACCCCTACCAAGACACATGGAAATGCATCGCCTGGAAAGTGTCTACCTCCATGCCAAGTTTTAGCGCAATCGGCCCAGTAATTACCGCGAGCTATTGCGCTTATTACAAAACAGGCACCTCTTGGCTTTGCACGTGGAACGTGCGTTAGGGGTCACCCATATGCATCGAGAGTAGCACACTATGTGAAAGAAGGGAAAAAGCTACCCCACACAAAAAACCGCACGTGTATCAGCCCAGTGGTTGCCGAGATATAAGTCGTACAAAAACGTCCCCACGGCGGCCGGCCGCTATTTAGCAGTAAAATCGTGTCGCATCCTTCTATGGGAGGTATCCCCGTCACCTGTTCGTATACTGTCTGAGCAAAGGCCATACGTTACGGTCCAAACTCCATAGTGAGGCGGACATACGAATTTACGAGAGTTTAGCGACGAAATGATTCACTTAATTGTTAAGTAATGGGTACCATTAGACCATAAATTTTATCTAGCATCTCACCGTAGATGCAGTAAAAAGTGCTTTACTTTTCAATGTATATAAAGACTTGCTCAGCTCAATCAGTTCACTCTGTATTGGCTCAAGCCGTATCATGCGAACGCAATACAAACTAGAGCACCGACAGCGCAGCGCTCCCCAACTCACTGCTCGCCCAGTCCACCCGGGCCGCCGCCACGACGGCCCCCCGCAAGTAGGCATCCCGCACTGCACCGACAGCCGCGGGCGACCAGCTGACCGGCCAGCTGACCGGCCAGCAGCCGGCGGGCGGCAAGCCGCGGATGGCCGACCCGCCGGCGCGGCGAGGGAGGGGAGGGACGCAGCTGAAAGACCCGACTACATATATATCAAAGAAACATTATATGTAATCATCGATGACGCGACATAAATCTGCTTTATTGGGTTTAGCGGTGTAGTCTGTGATGCCATCACAATGAAAATAGCCTAGTTTTGTAGAGCATCAAATTCTGATTCCATAACGACTCTCGCTAGTCCATTTTCAATTGTAAATAAGCCTTTTATTGCGATGCAAAGTCCCGAAATGGTGCCGACGGCGGCCGGTCCCCCGATGGTACCATACCATAGATGGTAAACAGGTTAGTTCACATTCCCGCCGCTATGCGGGCGGCGGCGGCGCCACCTGTCCTCGTGTCCGCCTGACACCGTAACGATATAGGTCTGAGCTCAAATCTCGGTAATGTCGTGCTTTTTTACTATATTTCTCAAAAACGGCACCACGTGCAATAAAGTTGTATATATCATTGGAAAGAGCATCAAAAGTTGTATAACCTATCAACTTTTCACTTAAATATATCTCAACTGTAAAAAGTTATTAAGCAGCAAAGACGCTCCCATTCACTTTCCATGTTAAAATTTTTCATTTTTAAACGAGCCTAAAAAGAACAAACGAATTTGCACAGCTTAAAGAAGCATAACAACATGTTCTATGGTCTTTTCTCAACAAGTCCTGAAAGTTAAAGCAAAATCGTATCATATAATTTTGTACAATGAGCGAATGAAAATGTCTCTGCAAAAACGCCCATTGACTTAACATGGGGAGCGAAAAAAGTTCAACTTTGACCTCGTGCAAAGACACGTTACGAAGTTCTGAGGGGTATACGGCGCACACTGGCGTGTACCGGAACGTGTTTGCCATAAAATTCTTGGAAGAAAACCACCTCTTCCTTGGCTCGTTTTCCCGCCATTCGCGATCGCGCAAAAAGTGTCCAAAACCCCGTTGACTTAACATGGGGAAAATGAAATCGCACGTGCCACGTGCCACGAGGTTTTAAGCGAGTAGCGACCGGTGCCATAAGGTAGATCGCCTCCGGGAGCCCATACCCTGAACTTTTTACGAAGATTGTACATTTCGTCTAGGCCTGACCCAAGTTGCCCCAATTCGCGGCCAGACTTGCTAAACATAGCCCGGAGAAGGACCGCTCCGGTTGTTTTTCAATAGAAAAACACAATTCTAACGAATAGTGTTTGTCTTTTCAAACAACCTGCGGTAACATACGTAGCAACATACACCAGCATCTGCGATGCTGGGCTCCGCATCGCGGGACCGCAGGTTGTTTGAGCAAGCACCTTTGTAAACGCAGCAAAAACGCCCGTCGCCAAACGAGAGGATGAGCCTTGCACGTGCAGACCGGAGTCGGTGTGCTACAAACTGACGTGCACGGCACCCTACTCGCTGATCTATAGCGGTGTGCCAAATTTGAGTGTAATCGGCTCGGCCATTTTCGAGATCTGGAAGCGTCACCCTGCACGTGCGCACGTGCAAGCTGTGTCCAATTGCATTGTGCATGGGACCCTATTCGCCGGTCTCTAGCGGTGTACCAAATTCGAGCTCAATCGGCCCAGCCGTTTTCAAGATCTTGAAACGACCCCTCCACGTGCGCACGTGCAGTTGCATCTCAACCGTGACACATGGAAATACATACTAACTGACTTGTGCACGGCACCCTACTGATCGATCTCTAGATGTTTGCCGAATTTGAGTGCAATCGGTCCAGCCGTTCTTGAGATCTGGAAGCGTCACCCTGCACGTGCGCACGTGCAAGATGGGTCCAAACTGACTTGCGCACGGCAGTCGGCACCCTACTAATCGGTCTCTAGCGGTGTACCAAATTTGAACTCAATCGGCCCGGCCGTTCTCGAGATCTGGAAGCGTCACCCTGCACGTGCGCACGTGCAGTTGCACCCCAATCGTGGCACATGGAAATACATACTAAATGACTGCAGCCTACTGATCGGTATCAAGCGTTATGCCAAATTTGAACACAATCGGTCCAGCCGTTCTCGAGATCTGGAAGCGTCACCCTGCACGTGCGCACGTGCAGTTGCACCCCTACCAAGACACATGGAAATGCATCGCCTGGAAAGTGTCTACCTCCATGCCAAGTTTTAGCGCAATCGGCCCAGTAATTACCGCGAGCTATTGCGCTTATTACAAAACAGGCACCTCTTGGCTTTGCACGTGGAACGTGCGTTAGGGGTCACCCATATGCATCGAGAGTAGCACACTATGTGAAAGAAGGGAAAAAGCTACCCCACACAAAAAACCGCACGTGTATCAGCCCAGTGGTTGCCGAGATATAAGTCGTACAAAAACGTCCCCACGGCGGCCGGCCGCTATTTAGCAGTAAAATCGTGTCGCATCCTTCTATGGGAGGTATCCCCGTCACCTGTTCGTATACTGTCTGAGCAAAGGCCATACGTTACGGTCCAAACTCCATAGTGAGGCGGACATACGAATTTACGAGAGTTTAGCGACGAAATGATTCACTTAATTGTTAAGTAATGGGTACCATTAGACCATAAATTTTATCTAGCATCTCACCGTAGATGCAGTAAAAAGTGCTTTACTTTTCAATGTATATAAAGACTTGCTCAGCTCAATCAGTTCACTCTGTATTGGCTCAAGCCGTATCATGCGAACGCAATACAAACTAGAGCACCGACAGCGCAGCGCTCCCCAACTCACTGCTCGCCCAGTCCACCCGGGCCGCCGCCACGACGGCCCCCCGCAAGTAGGCATCCCGCACTGCACCGACAGCCGCGGGCGACCAGCTGACCGGCCAGCTGACCGGCCAGCAGCCGGCGGGCGGCAAGCCGCGGATGGCCGACCCGCCGGCGCGGCGAGGGAGGGGAGGGACGCAGCTGAAAGACCCGACTACATATATATCAAAGAAACATTATATGTAATCATCGATGACGCGACATAAATCTGCTTTATTGGGTTTAGCGGTGTAGTCTGTGATGCCATCACAATGAAAATAGCCTAGTTTTGTAGAGCATCAAATTCTGATTCCATAACGACTCTCGCTAGTCCATTTTCAATTGTAAATAAGCCTTTTATTGCGATGCAAAGTCCCGAAATGGTGCCGACGGCGGCCGGTCCCCCGATGGTACCATACCATAGATGGTAAACAGGTTAGTTCACATTCCCGCCGCTATGCGGGCGGCGGCGGCGCCACCTGTCCTCGTGTCCGCCTGACACCGTAACGATATAGGTCTGAGCTCAAATCTCGGTAATGTCGTGCTTTTTTACTATATTTCTCAAAAACGGCACCACGTGCAATAAAGTTGTATATATCATTGGAAAGAGCATCAAAAGTTGTATAACCTATCAACTTTTCACTTAAATATATCTCAACTGTAAAAAGTTATTAAGCAGCAAAGACGCTCCCATTCACTTTCCATGTTAAAATTTTTCATTTTTAAACGAGCCTAAAAAGAACAAACGAATTTGCACAGCTTAAAGAAGCATAACAACATGTTCTATGGTCTTTTCTCAACAAGTCCTGAAAGTTAAAGCAAAATCGTATCATATAATTTTGTACAATGAGCGAATGAAAATGTCTCTGCAAAAACGCCCATTGACTTAACATGGGGAGCGAAAAAAGTTCAACTTTGACCTCGTGCAAAGACACGTTACGAAGTTCTGAGGGGTATACGGCGCACACTGGCGTGTACCGGAACGTGTTTGCCATAAAATTCTTGGAAGAAAACCACCTCTTCCTTGGCTCGTTTTCCCGCCATTCGCGATCGCGCAAAAAGTGTCCAAAACCCCGTTGACTTAACATGGGGAAAATGAAATCGCACGTGCCACGTGCCACGAGGTTTTAAGCGAGTAGCGACCGGTGCCATAAGGTAGATCGCCTCCGGGAGCCCATACCCTGAACTTTTTACGAAGATTGTACATTTCGTCTAGGCCTGACCCAAGTTGCCCCAATTCGCGGCCAGACTTGCTAAACATAGCCCGGAGAAGGACCGCTCCGGTTGTTTTTCAATAGAAAAACACAATTCTAACGAATAGTGTTTGTCTTTTCAAACAACCTGCGGTAACAAAAGCAAACAAACAAATAAACCAAACATGTCATTAATGGCAGAAATATATGAGAAAATAAACGAATGATATAAAGCCGCAAGGGAATGAATAAATTGAATGAATCAAACAAGAAAAAAATACAAGCAGTGATAGGCTACGACAGCCACTGGCGGTCCCAGGGGGGGGGGGGGCACGAGGGCCATGGCCCCCCCTTTGGTGCTGAAAGGTGGGGCCATACTATCTTTTGGCCCCACCTTTCAGATCGAACAAAAGTCCTAGAAAGCTTTTTGTATGTTTCATTTTCTTTCTTGCGCCATCAAAGGACGTAAATTTCACTCATGGAGTGGGCTCAGTTTCGCATTCTGTCAATTTTGCGGTCAGCGTCCTGGCACCGATTCACGAGTATGGCCGGATCTTAGGTATATGGAATATCAGCGTGGGTTTACTTGAGGCTCTCGTATGCCCAGCAATGGCTGGCATGAAACCCTCTTCGGCAGTGCCGGGTGGGCCCTGCCAAATGAGCGTGGCTCTTCGACATGCTAAAGTAAGACCTCATGGGTTGATGCTGCGCACCTCAGAAGCCCGGTGGTGACGCCGTATGCTGGCTTGGTTTCTTAAAGGGACCCTCCCACCTTCAAAAAAGTTAATGAATTGGCATGAAAGTGATGTCGCTCGGTTCAGAAAGAGCAAAAACGAATATCTACCAAATTTCATCGAAAAATATTCACCGGTTTTCAAGATATTAGACTTTTACTTTTGTTTACTTTTTGGGATTCCCGCTGTTCCTAGCGACTTTATTTGAAAGTGCGGCATTTGTTGCGCGCAAAGCAGCGTATACCACCACGTGCTACAAAACGTTTTAGTCAAACATTTAACGGACGTTCGAAAGCTTGATGACGTCATCAGATTCCCGTAATGGTTAAGAGATAGGGACCACGCTGGTCCCACCCTGCAAGTAAAGGGAAGAAATTTCTTGAACACCATAAAGCTGCGGGGGTTGCGACCAGGATAAATGGTGGTTTCTGAGCCTGGCCGCAAACTTGGCTATCTCAACTCAAAACTAATGTTAAGGTGGGAGGGTCCCTTTAAAGATTAGCGTGGGACCTCCGGGGCCTGCATAGAGTTTGCATGAGCTAGTAGGTATGCAATCTCAGAGGCCTGTGTGTAATGTGTACACAGTGGCGGTCGCGGGGGGGGGGGGGACATCAGGGTCATGCCCCCAAAGGCCAATAAAGAGGGCTATCATATCATTGCCCCCCTCAAATAACCGATGGGCCCCCATAGGTGTATGGGGCCCTGGCCCTTATTCGATCGTCACGAGGCCTAAAAAAAAACACTCCCAGCTATTAATATAGCTCCCACACCGGTCTTTGAGTGTCCTACACTGACCTCTGAGGGAACTTCAGTGGCGGTCAAGCGCCCATCCGCCAAGAGCCCACATCGACCTCTGAAGCCCCACATCTGGCCTATGAGGGCCCCTAACCGGCCTCAGGGGCCCCAACCGGCGTCTGAGCGTCTCACACCGGTCTCTCGTGGCCTTATTTCTGTCTCTGGTGTCCCAAGACGAACCTTTAGGTGAAAATGAGGGCCCCGCACTGGCTGCTAAACACCTGATGCCGGCCTCTAAGGGCCTGCATTGGCCTCTGAGGAAGGCCCATCTTGGCCTTTGAGGGCCCTCTGCTGGCCTCTGGGGTCCAACGACGGCTCATGCCGGTCTTTTAGAGCCCCACGCTGACCTCTGAGGGCCCCATGTTGGCCTGTAATGAGTAAGGACCCACATTAGCCTCTGAGAGCCCAACTCAGTCTCTGATGGTCTCAAACTACTGGCCTTTGCAGTTTGCAGGCCCTGTACTAGTCTCTGAGGGCCTTAAACTGGCCTCTAAGTGAAAACATACATGGGTGGGCTTCTGAAGCTCAGAGGGCTTACGCAGACTCCTGCACAGCCTTACGTTGGTCCTGATCGAGATCACTTTACGTCCTGATGGTCCCGCGTAGATTCCCTCATATTTCGACGTCGGGACCCCATGAGCCGTTGTGGGTCCTGGGGCTGGCAGAGACTGACGAAGTCCTCAGGGCTCAGGGCTAGTCTTTTTAGCATGAGGACTAGGCATTTGAGTGAGCCCCAATAGAGCCGTTGCGAAGCCCGCAGGAGTCGCGCGCGGCCCTCAGATGCCAATTTTGAAAGCCAGGAACCTTTGGTCTCTAGAGGTCGGTGTACCCACTCTCTCCCGCCGCCACACAACTACTCGTATATGGGTAAATGTCATAGTCTGAAAATGCTCTCTGGGTTTCACATGCTTGTTCAAAGCAAGAGGTAGGTATCTGTACGTACTTTTCCGAATTGTTTTATAGTGGTAAGGTCATGAATCCGCGTGCCCGACCTTCCAGTATATGCTACACCGATCCGTCGCCATGGTGCAGTGGCCCGACCGGTGGAAACACCGTGGGACGAGAAATGGAACTGGTGATTTTGCCTTAGATTGAGCTTAAAGATTCCACGCAAGAACGAGATGGATGAATTGCATAAGTATGGCCAACTGCGCGGCGCCTCGTGGACGTAAAAAAAATGAGCCGATCACCCTCCGGTGACGGATAAATGTTATGCCCCGCGAGTGTGAGTTTGGCCCCCCCTTTTGCTAGCGGCTGCGACCGCCAGTGACGACAGCCGTCCATCCACCCCGTCCCCAGGAACTAACCGGTGTGGTAGAGATGAGTGACGCGCTAACATGTCGCACGGACGGCCGGCCGGCGGTCACCAGCACCTTGGGGGGCCGCTGCAGCAGCGAGCGGACTGGGGAGACGCGCGACGAGCCGGCGTACGGAGGCGAGCTGCCGCCGTCAGAGTCCACAGACGATGGAGGTGTCGGCGGTAACACGAACGCTGCGGGAACGGGACGACAGAGGTAATACAAACGCTAGGGAAACGGGCGGCGGCGGTAATAAAAAACGCTGTGGAAACGGGCGGCGGCGGTAACACAAACGCTGTGTAAACGGTAACACATGGTAATACAAACGCTGTGGAAACGGGGGTAACACAAGGTACCTAATACACGGTAACACAAATGCTATGGAACGGACAGAGGTTCCAAAATCCAAGTCATCAAGAGGCAGGACAGTCGGCTTACGGCAGTCGGTGGCAAGGACGTCACACTTGGCTATAATTAGCCAGATGTGGACACCAGGCATATTCTAATCGAAGCCAAGAGGCGTCCTGATATTCAAACGAACGGAAGCAGTGCAGTAAACTTACGAAGACCTGAAAGGTCGAGCTTCAAACGCCCAGAGCAAATCCGAGTACCCCTAAATCTAATTATGTTTCTATCGTAGCAAAATAACCAGCAAATCAGCCGCCCCAGTAGCATCCATTTGGCAAGCACTGCTCCTCACCAAATTATAATAATTCCTCATTACAATGCCATGTTACACGGCCATTGTAGTGCAGAAGGCCTTTGAAGTGGCATGAGTATTGCTCCATTACAAAGTTATGACGGCGGTGAACCATTAGCAATTAGCGTGAGCGAGCCTGTTCGCCTGAATCGCTCGGTGGCTGCCGGATCCAGCTCCCGGGTTCGGTCGGGTCGAGTCGGGTCGGGCGGGCCCGATGTCTCACCTGTGTTGGGCTCTAGTTTGACGCTCAGCCGCGGCACGGCGCCACTGTCGGCCGGCCTCTGCACCAGGCTCGGACGGGAGGTGAGAACGATCGTCTGAGGCCGTAACACGGACTGGCCGGCCGATATCTGGCGACGGAGAAGAAACATACGGTTATCGATACGACGATACAGTCGTCACAACTACCACAGTTAGTTACCTTTTCAGTCATAAGCCACACATACCTTACCTATTACAGACCACACACAGTCCCACTCACCACTAGCAGACGGCTCAGAGCGGGTGCCAAGGGTCAGTGAACGTACCCCACTACCCCCAGGTCACAGAGCCACGACAGATGGCCCAGTCACGAGAGAGTAAGGCATGCATGACGGGGAAGATTACCTACCTCTGCCGCTCATGGGGATCAGGTTCACTGCTTCGCAATCTAGAATGGATGATATAATATTTGCATTAGCGACCTAGGCAAACATTTATAATAGTCAGCAAACCGTGAACAGCAACATCTACCTACTTCTTATACAGCTACTCGGGAGTATTCTGTGGATGTCGACGCTCCTTCTGTTTCCATTCACCACATAACGTTAGCCTCATCTCTTTCACACGCTCGCACCATCTTACCCACCTTGATATGCGCCTGCTGCGTGGTGCGGTCGGCCCGGAGCAGCTGCAGCTCCTCGCGAGTCTGAGGGGTGAGCACCAGTCGCCGGGGCGCCGTCGGCTGGACGGCCACCGCCTGCCGCTGACCCGCCGCCGTCACCGTGGCCACGCCGCCCAGCTGGGTGACGTTACTGACGCCGCTGACGCCACTGACGCCCATACTGACGGTGATGGGAGCCACTGATACCGCGCTGGGCTGGCTGACGGTGTCACAGGGTCGGAGGACGATTCCCGAGTCGTCGGAGGAGGCCGAGGAGAGAGTCCTCGAGGAGGACGAGGAGGAGGAGTCGAGCCGGGTGACCAGGTCGTCCACGTCGGCGCCGCCGCCGCCGCCGCCGCCGCCGCCGCCGCTGGTCGCAGTTGACATGGAGATGGCCGGGTAGCACTCGCTCTCCATGTCTGAAAAAGGTGAGACCAGAGTCAGTGAAGGGGATATTGGGTGACAGAGCAGTCATGGCTACGGATCCGAGCAGGCTCGATGGGGCCGTAGTGGTTCTCCAACACGAAACGAATGAAGTTGGGAAGAAAGGGTGTGGTATAATCAATGGACGATAACGATGGTGACCCTATCGGTACATCCGCAAACAACACTTTAAGGCCCGGCCAGGCCGCTACACTTGCACAAGTGTCAGAAGATATGTGTGTAGATAATACTGACATTTTAATCGAACATGTTCACGCAGGGATGAAACCAGGTAGTTAAAATGTGACGGCATTGTCACGGTCCTATATAGCGGCAATAGGATAGTGTGATAATGATGGCGAGATAACTATACCGTAAAAACAGCACGACCGCCTCATGGCCTTGTCTACCGTTACGCTTTCCAATGTCACATAAATGATCAAACAATGAGGATGTCATGGGGGCTGTACGATAAAATCGCTGTTCATTTGCAGCAGCAGCGGCAGAATGCAGACGGCATTGCTACCGCTGTCAGTCTGTAAAAATCAGCCAACGTCACTGCAACCGCTAGCTCAGAGAGACCTACGTCATGACGGTAGAAACGGCCTTCATAGACCGAAAAATTGGTCGGACGCGGGGACAGCTAGGAATAGCTCGCATGGCCGAGCTCGGGGTTAGAAAGGCGTCCATCGTGCTCAGTGGCGTCGGTCTCTATATTCAGTACCTACATATCTTGGTACGAACAAGTTACCAGGCTGGCATAGGCGGCGGAACGGGGAGGGCACCGGGGCACCGTGCCCCTCTTTGATTTTGGCATTTTAACATTAGCCCTATGGGCGTTGCATGGAAAGAATGGGACCAAAAGTCGGCAGTGCCCCCCTTAATTGAGGGTGTTCCGCCGCTACTGCAGGCTGGTAAGGACTACATGGAAATTACCTGGCACCCTACCGGCACCTTGTAGGGGAAGCGGGGGTAACACCGCCACTGTGGGAAACACCGCCACCCCATCTGGCGGCGAAAGTATGAAATGTGAAGTGTAAAAATCCGTTATTTCCTATTGACCGCACGCAGGTAAGCGTCTTCTGATTTGTGTTCCGGTGTTTCAGTGTAATCGAAGCTCAATGTGGGCATTTAAAGAAAAACGCACATTCTCTTATAAAAATTCGATGAGTTGGGAGCACTTTTGAATGTCTTTAAGTAGAGACTCATTTTGATTTACTTGATTACATCGAAAAATAACTGATCGGCTTTGTCCAGTAGGATAAGTTTGCTTGAACCGTGTAGTGCATTCTTACCGCTGGCGATTTTTGCTTGTGATCACTTATTGGGAAACACCGCCACCCCGTGGCGGTGTTACCCCAATTGAGGTTGCGGTGTTTCCTGTTTGTAGCGTGATAAGTGATGAAACTCCAAAGACACGCTTTATTTATGTTCGTAGATGTTCCTAAGTCGGGAATAAGCAGCTTATTTGATTTTTTACTTTATATTTTTCATGCATCCCGACCAAGCACTTGCCAGCTGTATAAAACTGGCAAACAGCTGATGAACCTATACCTATTTAGGTGTCCATTACCGATTATTTGCGAAAATTACCACTTACCGACAGGAAACTCATCGCACACGATCTCTGAACAATTAAAAGCTTTCGTAGGAATGGGTTGGGTTAACATCAACACCGGTGGCGGGGTTACCCACACAATTTGTAGGCAGCAAATATGCAAGGTATTTTTAAAAGTCGTGATACATGAAAACCTTTTAGGAGCATGCAAAATAAGTACCTAAAACACGTGAGAAAATGTTTAAATATTGTAACCAAAACAATAACTACCAAGAGACTTCACACATATTCTCTCATTTTGGCGAAAAGCTTAGGGGGGCGGTGTTACCCCCGCTTCCCCTACTCAGCCGGTACCTGGTACCCATTTAAAGGGACCCTCCCACCTTCAAAAAAGTTAATGAATTGGCATAAAAGTGATGTAGCGTGAATCACAAAGAGCGAAAATGAACATCTACCAAATTTTACCGGAAAATATTCAACCGTTTTCGAGATATAAGACTTTTATTTTTGTTTACTTTTTGGGAACTCCGCTGTTTCTATGACGTCACATAAAGGTTTTCTTTACGTCGGCATTTGGAAGCAATAATTTGGTATCAAAGTGCGACAAATATTGCGCGAATGATGCGTTTATCTTATCAAGGTCAATATATGATGGCCAACAAAGGATTCCAGGACAATTCTTCTTATGGCATTTTTTCGTATCGCAATTCTTCGTCTGCAAATCTTCGTCAGGGCATTTATTCGTATCGCATTACTTTGTCTCGCATCAGGGTATATGAAAATCGGCTCGCATTTCTTCTTCAACGCAAATATATGCAAGAGTAAGCATTGATGGACAAATAAATGCACCGACGAAGATTTGTAGACGAAGAAATGCGGACGAAGAAATGTCATGCGAGGATTCGTTCGGGTACCATGACATTTATGTGATTTCAAAGTCAAGGTTCACAGCTGATCTGCTAAATCAAGCCAAGAATCCAAACTATCAAAAAACTATAAATATTTGTTTGTCTGTCACAGAGGTCTCAAGCAATATAAGGTTGACATATGTTGAATCAAAAATCTACTGCCACAACTCACATCTCCTGCCTTAGTTTATCATTGTTGTTTTAACTTGCTTTCAAGAGAAACAGAAGCCAGTATCTGATATCACTTCAGATGATTGTTTCAAGATCTGAGTTCAAATGGAATTAAAAGCAAGATCAAGATGAAACAGGGATTATTGCTGTTAAAGTAGTTTGGCCATGATACAACAGGCACATAAATCATTAGCCAAATCAAATACTGGTTGGTTTGTCAAGATGTTTGTTGTCTGTCGTCTGTCGAGCTGCTATGAACACTGAACGCTCTCACTCTTACTTTTTTTTCATACTCATACTCATATATTTCGGAAACATCCATAAGTACATGGGTCTTCAGTTTTCCACGTCAAGCTCAAGATTAAAGTACATAAAAAATATCCAAGTACACATCCCTCAAATTTAAAACAGTACATAAAAACATACTTTAAAGAGAGTAGTTTAAGTTGAATGGTAGTGAGCTGTAATTAGACAAAGCAGCTATTCAGTGCTCACATCAAGCCAGGCTAGGAAATGGCATCAACTGTGGTGGGAGGAAGCAGGTTCGGCAGGCCTATGTTGTAAACTTCTGTTGTGTCTTGTGTTTGATCAACTGATGTTTTCTGCTCTGTTTTGTGCAGTGATAGTAGCAGGTAACTGCATGCTTGTTAAATTATGTGAATAAACGAATTCATAACATTGCATTTTTCTCTCCATGCAAGGAACAAGTAAGATGTTGTAGAAAATGTAATAGAGGGCTGCATTGCTGATTTCATGCACTTTATCAGAGCTTTATTTAGAATTGCTTTCCTGAAAGCTACACACAGGCCACAGCACTGAAATTCACAATGTCATAGCTTTTGGCAGAAAAAAAAGAAAAGACTTGCCTAGGTAAAATTGGCTGAAAGTATGGCAGAGCAGGTCTTGATGCGTATGCCCATCCGTGTGCTTGCCGAAGCCGAACTGACTGCAACACATTAACTCTGACCCACCATGGTGGCTGGCATATCCTGAACTTTCACCACTCTAAACAAGACAACTTTCAGCCCTCAGCATTGTATTAAAACACTGTACATGGCAGTTGACACTCAAAATTTGTTTCAGTGCCATCCACGGACAACATCAGTCGCCATTCACCAGGCCAGTAAAAACAGAATAGATAATAGTTTCAAACCCATGTAGTCAGAGTTACTAGGTCTGCACCTCAAAACAAAATCCAGGTGACATTCACCACGCCAGTAAAAAAAACAGGTACCGTAAAACGGGGTGTTAAGGGACAGTTTTGAGGTGTTTTGTTATATAACTCAAGAAGGGTTGGAGATAGAAGCATCAAATTGTCAGCATTTTATGTGGAATTTGGTGCTTTACATGCCTGCCACATTAAAGTTTTTAAGATTTATACCTGCATCTTATTTTTTATTATTTTTCATCACTGTCCCTTAGCACCCCAATGTGGGGTGTTAAGGGACACCTTATTATTCCAAGAAATGGTCATCAAATGCCCACAATTGGGGTGTGGAAGGGCACACAATTTATTTATTGAAATGTTTTGCATATTCTGTCACAAAACAAGTCAGGTTCATTCACCACTAATGACCTTTTTAGCCAATTACGTGTAATGCAGTTTACGCTTGTGGAAAATGTGCTAATTATACGGTAAACAGAACCAAAAAGTAATCTTCTGTCATCAATAAAAACCCATGTTGAAGCTTGTCACTTGTCATTATGTTGCCCTCTTTGTTTTAGCCTTTTTATGATGACATCACATTTACTTACATCAGTCTCCATTGACCCATCATTGTAAAAGGAGTGTTGAGATGTTTTGTTACATAACTTAAGATGTGTTAGAGATAAAAGCATGAACTTGCCAGCATTTTATGTGGAATTTGGTGTTTTCCATGCCTACTTAATTAAATTATATTTATATATTATTTTTTTATTTTTTCTTCCCTGTTCCTTAGCACCCTACATCCACCTCAAGATATGCATGTATCCGGAAAAGAGGAAGAGGATGATGAATGAATGGGTGGATTTGCACAAGTTTTTCAGGAAACATGTGCAATACATGTGACAATACACCTATGCATTCATTTTCCCTGTACACCCACTAGTTTATGTGGTATACACAGAGTTTTGGAGATGTTTCAATTTTGTGAAAATGTAGCATTATTTTCAAATCCATTTTTGAACCAAATCACTTGCATGAAAAACCATACCATTTTCTCCTATGGTCAAGAGCAAAACAGTGTCAACTACCACACTGAAGTTTTTATTGAACCTTCTCAAATTAGGAAGTTAATATAACTCAAAGTTTTTCCCATGCAACTGTCCCTTAACACCCCACTGTCCCTTAACACCCCATTTTACGGTAGGTACTTAG